CTTCTGAAGGTAGGATTCTTCTCTCCTCCCTCCCCATCCTCCCATCCCCTCCTTCTCCCTTCTCTCCTCCTCCCTCCCTTCTCTCTGTCTCCAGTGCTGGGGATTGAATCCAGGGTACCCTGAGCTGGGGGCACCTGCTTTTTTAAATTTGATATTTTGGTTGGTTGGTTGGTTGGTTGGTTGGCTTTTAGACAGATTCTAAGTTGCCAAGCTGGGTTAGAACTTGCGATCCTTTTGCCTCAGCCTTCCTCACAGTACTTGGATTAAAGCAGGCACCACCAAAGCCTTGAGAACAGGCAATAGCACCCTTCCCTTCCTCTCTTCTATTCATTCAAAATAATTTCTGCCCGCCCCCAGCTTCTGCCAGCATTTCTAGATGCCAAAGAGAACCGTGCAGTACACTGGCTTCCCTCTGTTTCGTTCTTAGCACCCCTAGAAGCCTCATAGTGCTCTCAGACATCAGCCCAAGATGTTGAGGGGAAAGGACCCCCTCCTGTCCCCTGGGCCTGGCAAATGGGGAGAGGGGGTCAGGTCACAATGTCACAGTCTCGCTGGGCCAGCCTGAGGGAGCCACTTTTCGTTCCTTCCACACACCTCCAAGTTCCTAAGCCATTCTAGTCACTGTTGTTACTTCAAGTTTTATTTTGTAATTTTTTTCTTTTACCATGGAAAACCGTACTAGACGCAAACAAGAAGTGTATCGGAGTGACACACAAGTACTGAGGGTTTCACCCATTTCAGCAGGAACATATCTGGCCATATCACATATCTACCCTGGAAAACAGGGTGCAAAGAGGTGGACGCTGGGTTTGAGGTTCTGGGGGTGCTAAGAACAAAACTGAGAGGGAAGCCAGTGTGCTGCATGGTTCTCTTTGGCCAGGTCAACTTCACTATGTCCACATTCTTCATCCACTTCCTTGTTTCTTTTCTGTTTAATCCCAGACATCCCATATCATCTATAAATATTTCAGTATTTTGCTCTTAAAAATGGGGATTCCTCTGAAATATGATCCCAATGCTACTATCCCTCTACAACCAAAATGAGATCTAATTCCTTTCTTTTCTTTTTCTTTCTTTTTTTTTTTTTTTCGGGGTCTCACTATGCAGTTCAGGCTGGTATTGATCTCACTTTGTAGCACTGGCTGGTCTCGAACTCCTGCCTCAGCCTCCTGGGATGTGGGACTACAGGTGTGCACCGCGACGCCTGGCTCCTAATTCCTTAAAAAGCATCAGCTCTCTAGTAGGGGTCAACATTCCCTGCTTCACGGGTTTAACCCTGAGCTGTTCAAACCCAGCATGCACCCCTTTGCACCCCCAGTTTCCCGGGGTAGACACAGGACCCTCTGGCGGCTTGCGGGTCCCCAGGGTTCGCCTGTCCTGCCCTCTCTCCAACATCGGCTCTTTTTCCTCCGGCTAGGCGAGGGCTCCAGGCCCAGAAGGCCCCGTGTGTGACACTCCTGTCCCGCCCTAGCGCAGTGGCTTCGTGCTGTTTGGCTCCCTCGGGAGAAATGGCGTAGGAGGCCCCTCTGCAGGGACTCTGGGCGCGAAGGTTCGTTCCCTGTCTCCGTCCTCTGCGTGAAGAACGCGCCCGACTTGCGCTGCCGGGCGGGGAGCCCGCATTCGCCGTGCACTTGCTGCCCCCTGCTGGAGCCCGGCCCGGCGCCGCGCGGAGCCGCCGCGAGCCTAGGGGACAGTGCTGGGGGGCAGGCGCCCGCCGTGCCGGGTGCGGGACCCAGAGCGTTCATACCCTGGGGCCAGCGCAGGCCAAAGGAGACAGCGGAGGCGGACCCGCGCTGCTGCATGGAAGTCCCTCGCCCACCCTCACTAGTTTTCCTTCTTTGACAGAGCCTGCAGCTTACAACCAACCGCACCATTAGGGCTGCGAAACCCGTGTCACCTCCCCCCAGTGGGGACGCAGCCCCCAGATTCCGCTTCTTTTGTTTCCTGGGGGGCAGCTCTCGGTCTCTGTTGCCTACCCTAGCCGCCTCCGTCTTCCGTCCCCCGGCCTTCCTTCTTTCTGTTCTGTTCTTACACATTCTCTTTTTTAGGGTTCAGGCCCTTTTTCTATTTCTGAGTCAGGGTTTCACTGAATTGCTAAGCTGCCTAGTCTAGGCTTGAGTATATGATCTTCCTGCCTCAGCCTCCCAGCCTGTGAAGATGACGTTCATGTGCCACCACGCCCAGCCACTTTCTCACTTTCACATTCTTGCATTTATTAAGACTTTTTAAAAATTCACAGTATCAGGGACAGTCAGATAGCTCAGTGGTCGAAAGCACCTGCTTAGGCCAGCTCAGGGACCGCAGTTCAGTCCCTGGCACCGCATACTGCCCCAGCCCCGCCCTCAAGGCAAGCTGAACTGATCGTTAAAAAAAAAAAAAAAAAATTAGAGTATCACTAATGCTGGCCGCCAGTGAGAACTCCCTGGAGGGACCTGCGCCAGGGGCAGCTGCGGGGGGGCACTGGAAGTTTCTGTGTCTCAAGGCTCATTTGTTGCCCCTTTCTCAAACCAACTGGTATTTTCTACTCACTATTCCATGAGACGTTTGTGTCCAACCCTCCCGCGTCTGAGAAAAGCTCCTTTTTCTTTCTCCCAGTCCACATCCCCAGGCCTGCTGACCGGGGTCGGTGTGAGTCCGAGGCGCACTCACCCGGGGGCCTACTCTCGGTACAGCCTCCCTCACACGCAGAGGACGGGTCCTCGGGGAGCCTTTGCCTCTCCGTGCTGTGGCAGAGGGCACAACGGCCACCAGGCAGGAGGGGGTGAGAAAGGAGGTGCCTCCTAGCCCAGTATCCTTCCTTGCTCTCCTTGGAGACAGAGATGATGCTATTAGGACTCTTGGGCTAGCACCAGCCAAGCCCTGGCCCCTGGCCCTGCCACGTACCCCAGACTTCTCTGGTGGCCTGGGATGCAGTGTGGCGCCAGCTGAGAGCCTTAGGAAGCAGCAGGTCTAGAGCTGGAGACGGGAACAACTAGGGAAAAACCAACCACCATTGCTATTTGTGTTACGAAACGCAAATGCCTCCTTTGCCTGTGAACACGCGCAGACCTGAGTTAGATTCTACACATCTCTGTGATTTCACTCACAGAACCGTTAACAGTTGTGTCCTGCTGCGTGGCTGTCGCTGTGGCTTCTCCTCAGACATCAGGCCTGTGTGTTGGATGGGCATGGTAACAAATGTCAGTAACCGCAGCACTGTGGGAGGCTGAGGCAGGAGAATTGCATGTTCAAGCTCAGCCTGGACAACTTAACAACTTAGCAAGACAAGGTCATCTATTTACAAGGACATAAATGGAACTCTGTAAAGGTCCTCGGTCCAATCCCGTGTCCAAATCGGAGGACTCCACATCTGCTGGCCCTGCCCATTTCTCACCACTGTCTTTTCCACTGTCACTGACCTTTCCACCCTCTGCAGACTCTCCTTTGAGCCCGGGGACTTCACACTGTGCTACATATATCCCCATCCATTTTTGTTTTTTATTTTGAAAGAGGGTCTCACTAACTTGTAGTTTGTCCAGGTTGGACTCAAGCTTGCATGCTCCTGCCTCATCCTCCCAGCTGACAGCACTGCCGCCACCCCAGAGCACTCACTTGGGGACCACTGTCTTAGATCCTAAGCCCAATGACCACGTGATGACACTGAGGCTAAGATGGAGGGGCTGTCCCCAGGTGCACAGGGGACGGAAGAATGCTACACCCCAGACAGGATCCGCCCACAGTTGGGGTTGCTTATTTGAAAACAGCAAGGCTGCCACCCACAGGGGAGATAACTGTACCACCTCTGAGAGTGGGTGGGGAAGGCTCCTCCTAGCAGAAGCTACCAGTGGGGAGTCAGCTTCCTGTAAGCCCACAAAGGACACCCACATCCTGCTTAGAGCTCACCTCAGGTCCAGGATCTACAACCTCTGCACACCTGAAACCTAACCAGTGTCTGCCAGATTTCCCAGGCTGTGTGAAGAAAGGACTCTCACTGGGCTTCGCATTTTTGGTTTTTTGTTTTTTTCTTTTTGACAGAACCAGGGATTGAACTCAGGCCCTTGCACTTGCCAGGGAAGCGCTTATTCCACTGAGCTATCTCCCCAGCCCCTGGCTTCGCATTTTTTGCCATGGCAACTTGTACTTCTTTGGTTTTGCCTGTTGCTACCCTTTGACAGCCTCTCTAATGAGTTGTCTTTGTACCCTTTGAACACCTGGCGATCCTCCTGACTCAGCCTCTGAGCAATGGGATTACAGGCGCATGCCACCTAAATTCTTTATTAATTGAGAACAGCTCTTTGTTTGGGGGTGGGTTGAGTTTGTCTTTTTTTGTTTTTTGCCTTTTTAAGACAGGGTCTCACTATGCAGTTCAGGCTGGCCTTGAGCTCACTTTGTAGTCCAGGCTGGTCTTGAACTTGCCTCAGCCTCCCAAGAGCTGGGATTACAGGTGTGGTTTTTTTTTTTTCTTTTTTGTACTCCGAATCAAACTCAGACCTTGCGGTTGCAGGCAGGCACTTATGCTGCTGAGCTATATCCTCAGCCCCCACTCTCTTTTTTCACTACTCATTCATTTTAGGCATTGCAGACTTATTTTCTTTGCATTGCAGACTTATTTTCTTTGTTTCGCTGCTTGTCTTTTAGCTTGATGACATACTGATTGTTACCCGTGTGACAGCCTGGCTGGGCCTCAGTTTCCTCATGTGAGCCGTGAGAGGAGGCAGCGAGAGCCTGGATGAGCAGTGCTTAGCTCCAGCCTCAGCTCTCCCAAGGCAGCCGCCACCGTGGCCTCAGAGACAAGCTTCCCTCAGGGCCGGCCTGAGCCCAGGGCTGTGTCTGCTCATCTTCAGTAGGATAAACCACCCAGAACATGTGGGGTGCTGGCCTGATGAGATGGGGTGCTATCTGTCTTCTTGGGGTTTCCAAGCAAATGTTGGCTAAAGTTGGACTGGGACGCTGAAATTCTGAACCAGTGCTGAGACCCAGGCTAACACCACCTCCCTCCTCTGTCTTGACCGCCGCACTAGGTGGCCCCTGACTACCGCAGCCTCCAGGAAGGCCTGCCCTACCTGGACATGGTGATCGCTGAGACCCTGCGGATGTACCCGCCAGCCTTCAGGTATGCCTGCCACCCACCCCGCCCACCTCGTGGGCCCCAGTGCTGCATTACCCACATGGTCCTGGAGGTGGGGTCTGAGCCCGCATTGCACCGGGGCTCCAGCCCGTGCTCCTGCAGTCTCAAAGCCTCACCAGCTTTTCCCTAACACGGCCCCTGCCCCGCCCGGGCAGTGCTGTGCCTCTGCCTGTTCACTCACTCAGCAGCTGCAGGCATCTACTTTCTGCTAATCCTCCACACACAACACAGCACGGCCCCTGCCCTTGGGCCCCCACTGAGGGGCTGTTGTGGGCTTGGGGTGTGCCTTCTTGTGTCTGATCGGTCCCACTCAGCCAAGGACATCTCGCTTGCCGTGTCTCACCTGCCCCCTCCCCAGAGCTGCTCCATGTCATATCCTGGACACATTTCCTCCTCCCACAACATGTCACTAATGCACAGCCAGTCCCACTAAGCGGCAAGGCCCCCGAGGGCAGGAACCAAGTCTGCTTCTCCCCCAAACAAGGGCCCGCTGGGGAGGGCAGCATAGCCCAGTGCCCGGCTCTCAGGCAGGGGAACAGCGGGGTCTAGATTTCGGGGTCTAGAGACAGAGGCAGCACAAAGCTGCTAGCAGAGCTCATAAATTCCACTCAGCACTTCTGTGGCTTCGCACACCAGAGACCGGGTGGAGACATTGTCGCCTCTTTTGTTGTTGTGGCTCTTATTTTTTGAGACAGAGTCTTAGCTACATAGCCCACACTGCCCCCACACTCGCAACAATCCTCCTGCCTCAACCTCCCAAGAGCTGAGATTACAGGCATCACCACACATGGCTTCATCCTTGTGCCATTTTTTAAAGAGAAAAATATGGGTGACGGGAAGGTCTCAAAATGATCTTTTAAATCAAAACCATTACCAAGGATGTGACTACAGAGGATGTGCAGGGTGTTCTGGACCAGAAGCAAATGCAGAAAACCCCCAGGGCGTGCACATAGCAGGTTGGGAGCTTGGGGATCTCTCCGCAGCGTTATCCTGATGCCGTACAACCCTTTTCTCTCCTCTTTTTACCACTTGTATCCAGAGGGGACTGTGGGCAGCCGGCATGCATGTTAGAATGAAGTTCAGAGCAGAACATCCGGGCAACAAGGCTGCCAAACGCAGGGAATCCCTTCCTGGGCCCCCGAAGGCTGACAGCCTGGGTCTGGCCTCAGTGAGGCTCCTCCATGCCTGCTGAAGACGGCCAAGCTGAATCATCATTCCCAGCAGGAGGGAAATACATGAAACCACACCCAACTCCCCAGACCTCAACTCAAGTCATGCATTCATCCCGTGAGCTGACATGGTAGCACATGTGTGTGTTCCCAGCTCCTCAGGAGGCTGAGGCAGGAGGATCACAAGTTAGAGTTCAGTCTGGGCAGCTTAGGCCCTGACTCAAAATTAGAAACAAAAGGACTGGGGTTGTTGCTTGGTGGTACAGCATGTGCTTAGCATGCATGTGTGAGGGCCTGGGTTCAGTCAGTAATGAAGAAAACAGAAGTCAGCCCTTGTGCAGCAGACAGATTAAGGAACAGAGAAAACTAGCGTGGACAGGGGCTTCAGAGCACCTGCTGCGTCCCATTCTCCTCCCTGCTGTCAGCAGCTGGGGTGAGGCCATTGTCTGGGGGCCACGGTGCCCTTGGTCTCCCTTGGGGACAGAGTAGGACCTGCAGCACCAGGATGGATGGGTTCAGCTTCCTTCCCAAGGTCACTCTCAGGGCAGAGCTCCCTGCAGATCCCGAAAAGCCCCAAGGGAGCCACCAAGGCAGGGCGGGCCCTGGCCTGGCCTGCTTGTGGCATTGGGTGATCCCAGGTGGGATGCCTGCCCTGCTAAACCTGCAGGGGACGAGGGAGCCACTGAGGTCGCAGGCTGGTGGGGGTGGACACGACTCTCCACGCAGCTGACCCTGGGCTTTGGACAGGAGGCACCCAGCTCCACACCAGGGCCAAGCCCAGCCCAGAGGGTTGCTGGGCACTGTGGGCTGCGGGGCATTTTTTGTTACATCAGTCTGTGGCTTCTCTCACCAGGTTGCAGAAGGGACCTGGGCCAGGCCACAAATGTGCCAGACACAGGGTCTGGGGATGAACAGGGAGAGTGAGGCCTTGTCCTTTGTCGGCCTTCCTTTTCTTCCTCCCTCCCTGGCTCCCTCCCTTCCTCCCCCTTCTTCTCCCGAGGAGAGCCTGTTACCCTTTCCAAGCACTGACACCTCTTGCTTCACCAACCACAGTCCCTCAAAGGATAGGCTCAGAAAGTGGTCCAGCCTGCTCGGGGCCTGGCCATGAGAAGGGCAGGGCTTTCCTGCCGCAGGGCCCCGCTGCCTTCCATGCTTCTCCCAACAAGATGAGGAGGGGCCTGCGCGCAGCCTCCCCACCCAAGCCCCAGCATGCAGCTGCTGTTTGCAGCCAGATCTTAGCGGGGACCCACCTTGGCCTCCTATGGCTCCTGACCAAGAGGGGCCAAGGTCCCTGCATCCCTCTCCTGAGCAGGAAAGTGTCACTGTCATTAGTGAAGTAAGACTGTTAGGGAAGCGTAATCTTATTGTGCAAAAGCCAACACAAAATTATTTTAATTTTTTTAAAGTGGCAGCACTTTTTTTTAATGTGCTTAGTACAGGGTCGACAGGGTCTCACTACGCAGATCAGACTAGTAGTGATCCTCCTGTTTTCAGCCTCCCAAGCACTGGGATTACTGTGTCACCCTGTCTAGTCTCAATCACCATCTCAGCACACCCCGGTACACTAAGGATGGAACACTGGTTCCTGCATCTGCTTAAGCAGTCACTTTAATCCACTGAGCTATCTGGCTGGCCCAATTATTTTAATTTTGTCATAATTATTCATATTGCTACAACAAAACACTAATACTTAGAAAACAAAACAAACTAAATAATATACAAGGTGAGGGCCAGCCAGATAGCTCAGTGAATTAAAGCATCTGCTTAGGCAGAGCGCAGAGACCAGGGTTCAATCCCCAGCATGCCATGCCGGCCCCTCCCCAGGGGTGTGCTGAGACTGGGCCTGGTGGCACAAGCCTGTAATCCCAGTGCTTGGGAGGCTGAAAACAGGAGGATCACCGTGAGTCCCGGTTTACGTAGTGAGATCCTGTAGACCCCATAGACTCTGTCCTAAAAAAAAGAAAATACACAAGGCACCAAAGGAAAAGGCCTCCAGGCCCCCACCTTGGTCCCACAGCCCGAAGGAGAAAGTAAAAGTTCAAGTATTCTAGAAACGGTATGTTCCCATGCAAACCTATGTAGTCTACTTTAAAAATAAAACAAGCCAGCCATGGTGACAATGCCTGGAATTCCAGCTCCAAGAGCCTGAGTAGGAGCGTCACAAGTTCAAGCCCAGCCCCGGCCAATTTAGTGACTTAGTAAGATCCTGTATCAAAATTCTAAAAGGTAGGGGCTGTAGCTAAGTGTCCCTTTCCAGCCCCCAGAGGGAGTATTTCCGGAGGTGAGGCGGGCGGGTGAGGAGGTGAGCTTCTGCCACCTTCCGGGATGTGGGTGTGGATCTGGGAGAGGAGCCAGGGGAGGGGGGTGGCAGGTAAAGGGCCTGTGGCAGACAGAGCTGGGGCTGTTCCTCCGCCCTTACCCTGACAGGCTGCACCTCAGCCTTAAAATACTCAAGGGACTATGGCCAGAAGCCTCAGGACCTTATACTCAGCTTCAAAGATTCAAAGTGTGTTTTTGTCTCCCAAATCGAGGCTCTAGATTGTTTCTAGAAGGTTGGCTATAGGCCTGAAGGGTGTCAGCACAACAGGGACTTAGAAAAGGGGTCAGCCAAGGACACTGTACAGCGTGGATTCTGTCCCCAGAGCCCTGCTGGAAGTGAGGGCAGAAGGGCAGTCTCACCACACCAGGTGAGGAGCTGGTGGGGACAGAAAGACCAGGGTGCAAGGGTGGGCACAACGGATAAATGACTCATCTGTCTCACCTCAGGAGAGCCAGCTGCTGTCCTGATAAGACAGCTGTTTGCCCAGATAAATTAGTTTGCTTTAATTTTCTAAAGCAAACAGTGGAGTTATTTCTTGGGTTATTGTCTTAGCTTCCTGTGTGAGAATTTTCTGGAAGAGGCCAGAAGTCTCCTCGGTGGGGCAGTCTCAGGGCCCTGCTCCGGCTGCAGCCAGTGAGGGGAGATTCAGGAGCCACGTGGTATCTTGAGTCTCAGGGACAGAGACTCAGCCTGTGTTCTTGAGGAGTGGGTGACAGGGCAGGAAGTTGTGAGGCAAAAACTCTGGAACAAAGCAGAACCCAAATGGGCTGCCATAGACAGGCCACAGGGAGGCCCAGGCTTGGGAGCTGGAAGGGGCTGGGAAATAAGCAGCTGGGTGTGGGCTCGCCAGCGGAGACATAGCTTGGCACCACGTAGGAGGAGCCTCCAATACCGCAGACCTGCTCCTGGCCTTAATCCAGACACTGGCTGGAGGTGGTAGCACATGCCGGCCATCCTAGCGCTTGGGGAGGCTGCAGCAGGAGGATTTCAAGATTAAGCCCAGCCTGGGCAATGAAGCAACTTAGCAAGTCTGCCTCAAAATACAATTTAATTTAACTTCTGAAAAGGCCAGAAGCCAGGCACAGTGGTACATAACCAGCATTTGGGAGGTTGAGGCAGGAGGATCCCCACAAGTTCAAGACCACCCTGGGCTACATAGCAAGTTCAAACCCGGCCTGGACTACAGAGTGAGACCCTGTCTCAAAAAAACAAAATCAAAAAAAAAAAAAAAGGGCTGGAGTTGTAACTTAGTGCAAAGGCCCTGAGATCACTCCCCGCAGTAGTGAAAAAAATCCCAATACTGGTTGTCTTAGTTACTTTTCCCATTGCTGGGACAAAATACCAAATACCTGTAAGTCAAAGAAGGAAAGGTTTATGGAACTCACAGCTGCTAGAGGCTTCAGTCCATCTTTAGCTGGCTCAAGCAAGGACGGCATCACAAAGGACACGCCATCCAGGGAGAGGGGAGGACAGTGGCAATCAGCAGCTGCGGTGGCAAGCCTGCCTTCCCTGTTACCCAAGCAGCCCCAGTGGAGCCACACCCAGAACTGCACCAATCCCGGGTACCACACACCCAGAACCCAGTACCACAGCCCTAGATCCAGCCAGCTCCACAAGGCCCCCGTGAGCACGTGAGGCTTTGGGGGACAGGCAGATCCAGGCCACAGCACTGGGCCTGGACGTTTCAGTGTCCCAGGCTGCCTGGTTTCTAATCTCTGCTCCTTTTTGTGTCCTGTCACCTCTGCCTGTCTCTGCTGGGGCCACACAGCCTTACGGGTGTGGGCCCTTTAAGCCCTTCCCCAGCAAGTCCAGCACAGCAGAGACCACTCAGGCCACCTAGAGGAGACTAGGTTGGACTAGAAGACAAGAAAATATAAATCTAGGAGGTGGCAAGAAAACGAGAAATGGCCTGGCCAAGACACCAGGGATAAAAATACACAGGGAAGAGCCCAGGACCTCAGAGAACACAGGATGGGAGGGCGGTCAATGCGCACATCTGGTCCTGCTGGTGCATCCTTGCGAGAGGTCCGATCTGGGGCTGGGTCACTATCCGGCTGCCTGGGGACAGGTCCAGGGCCCCTGCCCCAGCCTCTTCCTTGCCCCGCCTTGGGTTCACGGTGCCTGCTACTCCCACCAGTACACACACGGCCACTGTCTGTGTCCCTGTAGGTTCACACGGGAGGCGGCCCGGGACTGCAAGGTGCTGGGGCAGCACATCCCCGCCGGTGCTGTGCTGGAGGTGGCTGTGGGCGCCCTGCACCACGACCCAGAGCTCTGGCCACATCCTGACACCTTCAACCCTGAAAGGTAAGCACTGTCCAGACTGCATTCCGAGTGTGCACTGGAAAGCGACAAAGGCACGCTTCACTAGTGTCACAGAAGAGACTTCCCTACAGCCTCAGTCCCCAAGGCCCCGAAGACCCAGACACCCCTCCTTTCACCCCCGCGAGGATCTGAGCTGGTGATCTAAGATGTCTCCACCTCGGCTTCTCTGTGCTCCCCCAGGGGCATTGGCCAGGTGGCCACGACGTCCACACCTTTCATGTCTGCTCCTAAACCCAGGGCAAACCACTGGGATCCCGTGGGCAGCAGGGCTCAATAAATATACCCCAGCAGCTCCTAGCAATAGCACCAAGGAAGCAGAGCTGCTGTATGGTATGGCCCCCGCACAGAAGAAAGTCCGCGGATGCCAACAACAGAACACACGTGGCCCATACCGCTGTCTGGTAACAGCTGCAACGAGGCCAATCATAGTCTTGTGTTGGAGCTTCCTCTCAGGCTTGGCCAGCATGGCTCAGAGGTGGCGGCACAGGCAGGATGAGCCCTCCCAGGAGGGGTGGCCAAGGCCTAGAGCTGCCCGCCCAAGGCAGTGATGTCACCAGGACACTGCGGCTGCGGTGCAGGGCTGTGCTGCGCTGCGCAAGCCCAGGGGCTTGGACTGGCACTTGGGTTCCACTGAGGCTCAAGTTTTGGACTCACTAAGGACACTGAGGTCCTAAGGAGTTGGGATGGCGCTGCTGACATCCAGATGCTGAGGATCAGCAGTGGCCTCAGGCAGTTCAGCCCAGGAAACACAAGTGGGACCACATGCTGGGACATGTAGCACCAGCTCCTGGAGACCAGAGGGCCATCCCACAGGACACAGGGTTCTATGACTGTAGTGGGTTTAAGCCCTCCTGGGACCAAGGATCTGAGGAAGCACGGAACCTCAGGTGGAAGGGAGTGGGCATCCCGGGCCAACATGACCTTCCTCTGGACCCCAGGTTCACGGCTGAGGCACAACGGCAGCGGCAGCCCTTTACCTATCTGCCATTTGGTGCCGGGCCCCGCAGCTGCCTGGGGGTGCGGCTGGGGCTGCTGGAGGTCAAGCTGACACTGCTCCAGATCCTGAGCCAGTTCCGCTTTGATGCCTGCTCCCAGACTCAGGTAAGGGCTGAGGCTCTGGGACAGGAGCCACCCCAATTCCTAGAGGGGTCTCAGGCTCTGCATGGGGCCTGGGGCCACACTGTTAACCTCCTGGGGTCCTGGTTTGGTGATCTGTGAAGTGGGATCATGTGAATAATGCCAATGCCCTCTAAGCTGGGCATGGTGGCACACACCTGTAATCCCCAGCAGTCAGGAGGCTGAGGCAGGAGGATTGCTGTGAGTTCCAGACCAGCTTGGGCTACATAGTGGGTTCAAGGCCTGCCTGAACTTTAAGAGGGAGATCCTGTCTCAACCCCCCACCCCCAGCCCCACTACACACAGCCCTCCACCTCCTAGTGTGGCAAAACTGACAGGGACAGTAAACCATGGCAAATGCTAAACCCCAGGGCCAGCTTCACGTCTTCTGCAATGTGTGTTTGGCACGGTTTGGGGTGCATATCTTGTTCTCCAGAAGCTGGGGACACCCCTTCTGGCTCCTTCTGGTCCCCATAGGTTTCCTGCTTAGAGAGGAGGTGGAGGGGCTCCAACTGCTTTGAGGATGCTCCCAGCCACCACAGCCTTGCCACCCGTTCCCCACAATGTGGTCATGCCACACCTTCATTCCTGAGGTCCCAGAGAGGCGCACAGACCCTCCCTCGCCCAGACATCGGGGCTCTCCTGAAGCCTTACCTTGTTTCTGCACCACGACCCCCTCAGACCACAGGCTTCACCCCAAAGCTGGGTTCTACTGATCCCATCTTCAGATGACCCTGTGTTCAGGGAGGGTAAGTCACGTGCCTGAGGTCACATAGTCTGACTGCAGACCAGGGACACCATGACAGACAGGGATGGTTCTAGATTCAGAAACTGGTAGTGCCTGTGACGAACAGAGGAAGCATGGCTTGGAGTGGGAAAGTATAGGGACCACAAGGGAAGATACTCACAAGTGACAGGCAGGGCTGAGCAAGGAAGAGACAAAGCAAGAGAGGACAAGGAAGGGCAGGGGGAAGCACCTCCTCTGACGGGTGTCAGACCACCATCTTCTACACGGCTATACCCAACCCCCCAGCAGCAGAAGAGCCAGCTAACCCCAGGAGAGCTGCTAAACTCCAGGTGGCACGAGCCATGCATGCCCCCACCCCACAGGGCTCCTTCCTCTCACCTCAGAAGCCATCCTTCCCACCCCCTGCCCCTCCCCAGTCCATCCTCTAAGGGGTCTGTCCATTCACAGGGCCTCATCCATCCCTACCCCCACGCAGGCCAGCTCCTCCAGGAGGCCCTCCCTCATTTCACCATCCCCACTCCCCTCTCCTTTGCAGCGTATGCTGTGCCTCTGGCCCCATGTGGATATGCACATTTAATTATAACCAAATCCAGTCAAAGCCTCAGGCCACCCTGCCCAGGGACAGGCCATCTGCCTTCTTCACATGCACCTTGCCAGTTGTCTGATGTAACCCACAAGCGCCTCTGAAAATGCCCCCGGGGCCCTGATCCTGTCCCCTGGCTGTTCCTTCACTCAGCCACTATACTGCCACCTGCCATGCACTCTTAACTCTCTCACTTGTCTTCCCAGTCCACAGACATTGTGGCCTCTGCCTTTGAGGCTGGCCATGGGAGGCCAGACCAGAGTGCCTGTGAGCAGGCCATGGCATGGGGTCGCCCTCCGCAGAGGGCAGTGGAAGCCGGGGACAGCGGGAGGCAAATGGCAGAGAATTTGACTGCGTCGTGGCAGTCGTGGGGCCTCCCTGAGCCTCTGGGGTTCTCATCCAGCCTTCTTGGATAAACAATTGCAGCCCAGGTGCCCTTCAAAGGGCCTTTATTAACCCCGTTCAGCTGGGGACCCCATGCCCTTCCTGGAGATGGCTCTGCTGGCTTCTCAAGGAGCTGTGTCCTCCTCTGCCCACTCCTTGCTGGGCTCTGGTCAGCCCCCAGATTCCCACAGACCCTGCCTCAGGCTCTGAGGAATCCTCCCTATGGGTTTGGTTGATTCTATGTTAATGTCCTCTATTTTAGGTACCTCTGCAGCTAGAATCCACATCTGCTTTAGGTCCCCGAAACAGCATCTACATCAAGCTCGTGCCGCGCTGATGCAGCAGGAGCTGGGGAGAGCAGCAGGCTGTGCACAGTGTCAGTGCTGCAAGGGCTCCCAGGATTCCTGGTGTGCTTGCAGCTAAGGGCGTACCGATGAGACCTCTAAATGCTTAATAAACATGTATCACACTCAATGTTGACGCTGCTAGTGACATTGCCATTGACCTAAGACAGGCAAAATGGCCAAGAATGTGTTTCTTAAAGTCCTGGCCTTAGGACATTTGGGACACGCAGGCGGCCACCATCTTCACACACAGCCAACGTGCTGGTGTCACTGGGCTCTTGGCTAGCTTTTCCTCACCCTGGTTAAGCCCACAGTTCACACCCAATATCAGATGTGGAGCAGGAAAACTAGGCCCAAGACCACACTGGCTGGGCTGGCCCTAGAGCCACCTGGGTCCTCGCGTTCTGTCCCCCATGCACAGCGCCCCCCATCTCGGCACAGAGGTCCGGGGAGTTCCAACCCCCACTCCTTCCTTCACAGGGCCTACCCTGTTCCCATACCTGCCCACCTTGGTCCTGCCCCTTTGCCAATTGCTCCCACCTTGCTTTTTCAAAGGTCCTCACATTCACCAGTCCCTGTGGCCTTCACAGCTGCCTGCCTCAGGTCATCCCTCCACCCACACTGCACATGCACACACACATAGAAAGCAGCAGGCAAAAGATGATCAAGAATATACTTGGAGAGTTGGGCAGGCTGGGGGAGGGACGGACATGTGGCTGGCCACAGCCCACTCATTTAGCCTGGCCCTGGCCTGGCTGTGAAAGGTTTCCAGTCACTGAGGATGGGAAGAGGATCTGAACACACAGGACACAACTGACACCAGCATTGAGTGCATCTCCTTGGGTGTCTGCTCATCTATGTGCCCAACTCTATGAGCGTGTTCTAGGGTGAGGCTGGGCCCTGTGAGCTGCGAGCGAGTTGGGGGAGAGAGAATGCAAATATATAGCTCACAAACTTGAGAATTTTTTTTTTTTTTTTGGCTGGCTCAGGCTGCCTTAAAGGCGGGTCTCATAAGGCAGATGGAGGTGGGGATCAAACTGTGGCATCCTGTGCTTGACTGCATCTGCTTGAGCAGGCACTTCAACGACTGAGCTAACCAGCAGGCCCAAATCACAAACTTGAGCAGACAGATTGCTAGGGCTTCTAGCAAGGCCTTAAAAGAGGACCTAGATGGCCACATGTGGTGGTGCAAGCCTGTAATCCCAGCACCTCGCAGGCTGAGGCACCACAAATTTAAGGCCAGCCTAAACTGTGCAAACTCTGTTCTCCCCAAAATGAGGGGGAACACCATGCAGGAGGACCAACCTGCAGCTTTCTGATAAATCCCCATGATGCCCACGACAGTCCTGCTCCCCCTCCTGCTGTGCTCTGCATTGTTTGTGCTCCTGGTCCAGGCTGAACCCCCCACACCCCAGGCGACAGCACTGCACCCGAGGTGACCAGTGGGTCAAGGCTGCCAGTGAGGAAAGCATTCGCTAGAAACCCGGGTGCAGGCACCTCGGCCTCGGCACCAGCACTAGCACCAGGAACAGCAGCACATGCCTGTCGTTGCCCAGCCACCCCACAGGTGATGCTATCTACAGCAGCCCAAGGGCAGACACCCTAACCCAGAGCAGTGCCTGGTCCCCAGCGGAGCTCAGGCCACAGGCGCTGAAGGAGAGCTGCAGGCATTCCCACTCTAGATAAATATGTTTATTTCATATCTCATGTGACATCTGCAGCACAAGAGCTCAGTCTTCCCAGACACAAGGGTGCCCACACTGGGGACATGGACCGGGTTCCCAAGGCACTCGTCCACCTCTCCTGCCAACATGGTCCTGCCGGCCCCTAGCACTAGGGAAACCAGCAGGGACTCAATGACACCATATGGCTGCTACCTGCCCTGATGACCTGGCACAGCCAGTCAGTGCCAAGGCCCGGGCAGCCGCAGAACTGGACTCCCCCCATCACGCCACTGCGCCACACTGATGAGGGGCACGAGGCCCTGAACATGGAGTCACTGCAGACACAGAAACCGTTAAGCATTAAAACAAATACATAAAACAGTGTCTTGAAACTGCCTGCTGCAACAGGCAGCAAAGAGCGGAAAGTGCAGCATTAAGACGCAATTAAAAAGCAAGCGGGACACGCCGGGCTCACCTGCAATCAGTATGGTGAGTCCACAGATGAACGCCAAAGTCACCTAAAAGTAGAATCTGATACCCGCAAGGATTAAGAATGCAGCCTCATTGAGAAGCCAACATTAAACAACAGTCCATTAAAAGTTTTCTTAAGAAAAAAAAAAAAAAATCCCACAGCACTTCCCTGCCTGCTGGCTGCATTCACTGCCGACTACCAAAGAGGGAGCCCAGCGCTGCCACCAGCACAGAGCCCCCAGAGGGGGTGGGGGCAGCAGCTGTGGGCGGCAGCTTAGGGGAGGTAGAGTACTGAATGAGGTACTCGGGGTAGGCCTGGTGCTTCTCAAAGACTACAAAGATGCTCGGGTCGGACACACTGTTTACGCAGCTGTCGTAGAAGGCACTACCCTGCCCTTCCTTGGCAGGGGGGCGGACCAAGGAGGGGTTGCCCCTGACAAAGTCACCCACTAGCACCCGTGCCAGGAACATCATCTGGATGTGACCGTCGGACTTGCAGTAGTGGTGGGAATACGCGGCATCCCGGGCGAAGTAGCTCCCTGAAACGATAAGCACAGGCTCTGCCAGGCACCAGGACAGGCCAGCAGCCAGGCAGGACAGGTGGACACTGCCTCTGCTGTCCTGCTGTCTCCCCACAGAGGAGTGTTGGTACCACCACCCCCCTTCTGCACAGCGGCAGAGGCGGCCTCCCCTCAGAGGAGGCCCCTCAGTGCTCAGCTTCTTAGCCTGTGCCTGTTTCCTCAGCTGTGACAGGGATGCTCCACCAAGCTCAGGGGTCAGCGTGGCGAGAGACCAGGAGCCCACTCTCAGGCATGATGTGGGCACCTGCGGCCCAGCCTGTAGTACTCCCAACCTTCTCACAAGGGGACTGGGCTACAAGGTGCCCCTGCAGGCTGGCAGTGCAAGTGCCAACCCCAACTCTTGTCCCACCTGATCCCACAACTGTGACCCATCAGACAGAAACTATCCCCAGGGGACTGTGAACTGTGATATAGACAGCAGCTTATGATGTTTCTACCTATGGTGGCCACGCTGCCTAGAGAGGAAGTGTTACAGGAAGAGGGGACACCATGTACCCACCTCCTGGCACAGCCTCACAAAACACACAGAAAGATGATCCAACTAGTAGGGTACAATGTTACACTGACAAGCACGGCAAAAGGCATGCAGTTACTTCACGTGATTATTTTTGCAGCTCTCTATGGGTTTGAAATTATTTACAAATAAAGCTTAAAGTAACTGAGAGGAAAACATGTGGTTTACCTAACAGCTAGAATGACTTCTGTGCGGATGCACATAACTGTCTGGGCCTCCAAGGACACTGTGAAGGCACAGTCCGGGGACCACAGCAGACCTGGGAAGTGGCCCCTTTCCTCTTCCTACTGGGTCCTACCTGCCCAAGCCTTCACCCTGAGGGCTGGCAGCCTTGGCCTGGGCTCCTGAGGTCTTGCTGAGGGTCTCTCCTTAAAGTACGGATGCTCCCTCAGAAGTGTCCCCAAGGGCCAGCCTGGCAGGACCAGAAGCCAAGTCACCTTACCTTTGCCATAGGAGGTGCCATGAAGACCACAGATACGCCAGTCAAAGTTCTGTTGGCAGATGGCATCCACAAAGCTGGTGGCAGTGCCATGGAACAGCTGCCGCTCGTCCACTTCCTTCCCCTCCTTCTGCTTCTGCATCTGCCCCTTTTGCCTGCAATTGCAGGACACTTGATAAAAAGGAGGGTCCTGGCCACCCAGTCAGCTGACTGGACTTGCAGAAGTGCATTCTGCTGAAGGAACAGGCACACTGCATGGTCGGGCCCCGGAGGCTGCAGCCACAGGCCCAGGAATGAGGCGGCAGTGCTGAAGAGAAGGGCTGTGGCCCCTGGGCTCCTGGGACAGCCGCATTCCCTGCTCCTGAGCAACTGGGCCCTGGCCCCTGCTCACCCCCCACTACTGGGATCCACCCTCCAGAACCCCGATGGGGAGTTTCCCCTCATGGGAGAAGTGCCAGGGCCAGAGCCAAGAGAACCAGGCCACAAGCACTGAGCCAGGCCTGCTCCCTGGCCATGGCCTCACTCCTGAGCCCAGGGCACTGCTGGGCTGCCCTGTCCTATCCTGTCCATCTTTAGGGAGCAGGATGGACAAGGATACAGGCTCTCAGCCCCCAGTCATGACAGGAGCCACCTAAGCTCAGGAAGCTTGCATCTGCTCAAATACACACACCCCCGGGGGGGGGGGGGGGGGGGGGGGGAGGGGAGGTAGTGGGGACACAGGCTCCAGA